CCCTGAGCTCCCCTGTAATTCAAACCCTGCTCTTAGAGTGTGTCCACCTCACTTCCATGGGGCTGCTATGGACAGAGGTGTAACAACGCAGCTAGGTGCCAGGGGTGATTGCAACACACAGGGGAAGTGGTGACTTTTGTCTGCTGCTGTGCTGCTGATTTGATTGTGTGGCTGTGCCAGCGGCCATTTCTTTCTGCTCCCCTTCCTGCAAATCAGCTTCCAGGGCAGCTGCCCCAGTCACCCTACCCTAGTTATGCCACTGGCCAAGGGCATTCCTTCTAAAGGATTCCCCAGCCAAGGATTGGGAGCAAGAATGGGAATCTAGGAAACTATTTCCCAGGTAAGTGCCCAAGCCCACAAGCTCCAGCACGTACCCTTTTGCTTGTTCTCCCTTTCAGTCCTCAGTCTTGAACCTGAGCCACAGTGCAGCCAAGAATGCAACAAGGAGAATGGAGAATCTCTCTCTTCCCAGCCAAGCCTGTAGCCTGGGGGCTATGGCACTCTTTCTGATGAAGCTGCAGATGTGGATTTGAATCCCCTGGGCTCTAAAAGGCTTAGAGGCCAGTGATCTCTCACTTCCTGAGTGATCTAACGACTAGACCAGGTGAACAATAACAGCACCTCATTGGCTATCCTTCAAAAGAAGAGACTGACCCAGTCTTGGGCACCTCAGAGCAAGAGGAAGTTTGAGGTTGCAAATCCCTGTCTCCAACAGGTCTATAACCCAAGGTATGTATGTTTGGGAGAGAGGCAGGATTTCAGGCCCACCCCTCTCTTTACTTGCTTTCTTAGATGGCTCCTCCCTTTCCAAGCTTTTGGTTAGGAGTCCCATTCCTAGTCCCTGCACTCTACCCCTGCTTTGTATTGGGAACCTGGTCTCCCAAACTAATTTATTCCCCAAATTAATTTGACTCAGGGGGCAGGCCAAATTAAAAGTTAACCCTGTTGATACAAAACATCACTATGTCTAGGGCCCTTCATGGACTTGGTCCAGTGTTACCTGACTACCCTGTTCAGGTACTTTCATCGCCATATTTTTTCAGTCTGTGGTTTGGTAACAGTGAATTAAAATTAAGATCTTTAAGAAACACTGTTTAAAAAGCATTCTCTTTGTACCTTCTCTGGCCTTATGGCTATTGAATTTAACCTCTTGAGCATGTAAAGATGCTCAAGAGAATGCCCTGTAAGAATGCCCTAGCTTTGCCTAACATGTTAGCACCTTGAAACTATCCTATAATTTTGCTTCCCCTAGTTCAGTGAAAAGGGGATCAGTTAAATCAATTTGGAAAATACTAGTGCACGGTCAACACAAATCCTGACAAGGCTGTCTACCATGTATTTAGTCTGGTTGCCTGACAAAACCCATCAATGCTTTTTAAATAAAAAACACACAGAAGTAATAAGAGCACAGACTCCACCTCCACCAAGCATGGAGTCCCCCCTCCCAGCTGAGCCAGCATATTTATCAGCTAAGTCTCTTCTAAGGGCAAGCACTCAGACTAATTACCCATGGCATGAGATCACAGGGGTCCCATTACCCCATCCAATTTGCAGTTGGGGTGCAGAAAGGACCCACTCCTTCATCTCTACCCAACACGTCTGATGCTGGCCCTGGAAGGAATTGGCAGAGTCTATGACACACAGCAGTTCAGAGCCCAGCACACACTACTATGTGACTGAATGCATGGGGACAGCTCCATATCTATCATCTGCCATGGTGACTGTATGGTCCCCTGTCCTCTCAAAAGAGTGCTGCAGGCAGAACAGGGACAACTGTAGGCACTGGTAATTCAACAGGCTTTACAACTGGCCTATGGCACATTCAGTTTTCCACAGGGTGATTGCCAGTGTACGGCCTGATCTCCAGCTATGGGCTGAGTCCCAGAATGTGGGTTTCAGTGTAAACACCTATCCTTTTGGAAACAGAACAGATGTACAAATACATTGTATTACTGATGTGTACTGCTTGGGAGGTACTTACTTTTCACAGTTGTAAAGGTCACAGCAGTAGCATGTGTTACTTTTCACTTTAAGCTGGCATTTGCTGTTTAAGGTGTAACACATTACCTGGAGAAGAGAGAGGGGACAGTTCTTTAAGCAGAGTCCTACAGGTATAGTACCTGGTGACCACTAGTTTCCAAGTTATCCCACTGATCATAAAAACATATGCACATTTTGTTTCTTCCTAAGCAGCTGTATGGTTGCATTGAAGAAGGCTGCCCCATTTAGCCTGGAATGTTTCATTCAATACATCCCTCGCTCAATCCATGAATTGTTCACCACATCCAATGCATGGAGCCCCTGGATGCAAGGAAACATGCCTGGATTCATGACATGGTCTCAGGGCTCCAGGTCCCTGATCCTGGGACACCTGCTCTGGAAGGGCCACTGTCCCCGGCTCTCCAGGGAGAGGCAGCAGGGAGCAGATACAGGAAGAAGGGACCTGCCCAGCACTGCCACTGTCCACCACAATCTGGCCATAGAGGGAAGCCCAAGGTTGCTCCTGCCATGTTTCAGCCATGTGGGGGCCAGGGATAGCAACAGGCTAGGTGCCCCTTTGCAGTGCCTGCTTCTCAGGTGGCCAGGCTGGGAGCACATAAAGGAAAGGAAGGCCTTCCCACTGCCACTGCTGTCCCCAGTGAGCTGCTCCCCACAGACTCCACTGGAGCGGGGCAGGAGCAGCTTTGGGGGTTTCCCCAAGCCCAGGTCAGCAGTGGTGGCAGATGGGTCCCCCCTTCCTGTCTCAACACTCAACACTGAGATCTAGGATAGACAACAACCTGACAGCCTGAGACAATCTGACATGAATCCTGACCGGCCCCCTGCTAGCCTGGGAGCTCCAGTGGTACCTTGCCTCCACCCCTCACAGTCAAAGGGAGTGGCACACTGTACACTCTTTACTAAATCCTACATCCACTTACACAGTCCTCAATCTCAGATGGAAGGAAATCAGCATAAAAGCCATGGTGGGACTATGGCAACATGATGTCTGACAGGTTATCTAGATACCACTTTGAGTAGGCCAACATTAAAATGTCAGTAAATGATAGCATCATCCTTTCTGTACAAACCACTCCTTGCCGGAGTTTCAACTCACTGTCCAAGCAGGACACACACAAACACACACAACATCCTGGGTTGTATTAACAGGAGTGTGAGTTGTAAATCAAGGGAAGTTATTCTTCTGCTGTATTCAGCATTGGTGAGGCCTTACCTGGAGTAGTGTGCCCAGTTTTGGGCCCCACACTTCAAGAAAGATGTGGTCACAGTTTGGGATGATTCCAGCACAAGGCAACAAAAATAGTTAGAGGCCTGGGAATTAACACTTACAAGGAAAGGCTGTCAGAACTGGAGTTATTTAGCCTGAAGAAAAGAAGACAGGTGGGATTTGATAACAGTCTTCCAATACCTGAAGGGTGATTATAGAGAGGATGGAGATAGGCTTTTCTCTGTGGCTGTAGGAGGCAAGAGGAAGAGCAATGGCCTCAAGCTGCAGCAGGGGAAATTTAGGTTGGAGATTAGGAGGAACTTTATGTCCTACGAGAGTAGTCAGACATTGGAAAAGGTTCCTCGGAGAAGGTGTGGAATCGCCAAGCTTGGAAACTTTCAAAAACAGGTTAGACAGATACTTGGCTAGGATGGTTTAGTTTAGGGATGGTCCTGTCTTGAGCAGGTGGCTGAAACAAATGACCTTGCGAGTTCCCTCCAACCCTATTTTCCTTTGATTGATTCTATGATGACAGAACATTTTTTATTTACAGTGGAAAAACAATACTGACAATATTTTCCCCTAAAAAGTTACTGAGCTCCTTTGGTGTCTTGAAGCTGTATGGGGAAATCTGTTCACCATTTTAAGTTGTACATTTGAAGCATGGTATGGTGGGTCTGACCACTGAGGAATAAATTATCTGGTGAATAATAATAAGCTTCTCTAACTAGAATGCTCTCTCTTATTCCTTCATTCTTCAGCTTTTATTACACCACAATCAAGAGTTTTGAACAAACAAACAAACAAAAAACAGGGAAAAATTTCAAGTAATTAAGCAGACAAGTACCCTTTACAGGAGGCTGTCTGGAGTATTGAAATGAAAAAGGTTCATTTGTGTGAATATGGACTCTAGAGAAAAAACAGATGTTGGAACAATAAACACAGGCACACGTGAGTCACTCTCCACTCAGACAAGAAATCATGTTAATGACCCTTAAATGCAGTAAGCGTACATAATTCCTACTTGACATAAGAAGCTAACTGTAAAATTTTATGCTTGAGATTCTTACTGAGATTTTTCAGCTTTGTTAATAGTTTCAAAATACTGCAAATGCTGTCAGTGTTAAAACAGTTCATATTCTTGAAAATATATTTAAATCTTTCTTTTTAAATATATATAAAGAAAATATGCTGTAACCATTCAGAGGGTTCAGTTTGCAAAATGAAAAGAATTGACAATTGACTGCATACGATAATAACATATTTAGGAATAAACGGTCTTTTAAAATGTCTGATAAGTGCTCTCTGACACATTTTCATTTATCAATATATTATTTTTTAAGATAATCTCTTATACTGAAATTGTGAACTGCAGGCTTCTGCTTTTGTGGGGGAGGTCTGAATCACTGTACGCTCTTTGGTGTGAAACCTGGGACTTCTCTAATGTGTGTGCTCTTGAAAGAAAAGTGCTGAGGTCATCTGTACACACAAAACCCCATCTACAAAGAAAGCTCTACTTACTTTTAAAATGTGGCTTGTCAGGAAAACTGTGAGAATAGGCAGGGTTTTTCTTTGAGTAGTGGAAGTAATAGTAGGGTGGGTGAGGGTGGTGGGGGGACTCAGAAAATCCCAGAACATTTAGGGCCTAGAAAGAGAACAGCTTTCCTACCTTTAATGAACAAAGCTTAGGGTGGGTAGTCAGAGAACATGATAACTATGGAGAATCTAAAAAGATCAAAGACAAAAAGGGTCAGGGAAGACTGGGGTGGAAGAAAATGAGAAGTCCACAAGGAAAGCAAATAATGAATAAAGAATTGAGAAGGGACTGAAATTGTGGGAGGCAAGCTCTGGAAGGTCAGGGATCATCAGTGGATGTTTTCTCCCCATCTGCATTCTAGGACAGCAGCCAAATGTGCAAACCAAGACTATGGCCCCGCCAGAATCTTTACTGCTACGGGGAGCTCCCCTGAAGTCAGGCATAGGCGTGGATGCAATGTGATGTACTTGCCTCACGGAACCTGTGAGGACATCTCTGAAAGTGGAACCGCAAGGGTGGCAAAGTGCAGCAGCCAAAACAGAAGGGAAACAGTCTGATCATAAGAATCCAGAAATAAGGCTCAACACGCAGAATACCCATGTATAGCATGAATCTATCACTAATGTCCGCATTAACTAGCACCTTAATTCTACTGAAACCAAAGGGCTATGTCAGTGGCTGAAAATTGTTCAGAAAAAGAAGAAGAAATAAGGAAAAGGAAAGAAGCATGCCTGTGGGCTAGGCCAAGGGTGTGAAACTCATCTGGTGCCTTGGGCCAGATGAGTAGCTCGGAGCTAGTCTATGGGCCATATCTGGAGCAAAGAGCTATGTCATCTGGCCCATGGGACTAGAAATTTGGGAGGGCACAAGTGGTATCAGCATTAATTACCACAGCTTCAGAAGCTGTGGCAACCACTGTTTATCCTACCACAGGCCAGATGACATGGTGCTGTGCTCTGGATCCAGCCTGCGTGACTGCCCACAGGTCAGAAATTAGATGAAACAAGCTGCCACAGCTCTCAGAGCCACAGTGATTAACACTAACACTGCTTGCCCAACCACTGAATTTCCAGCCCTGTGTTTACAGCTTCATGGGCCAGATCTTTTGCCACCCCTGGTCTATCAAATAAAAGACAGCTGATATATGCAAACTACCTGACAGGCCATAATCACATGGCATAGGCACCAGATTTCAGGAAGAGTTGAGACACATGTTTAACTTGAGGTATGTCTCCACGTTACACTGAAGGTTTGTTCTACAAGCCCTGTCAAAACTCTGTAAGGACATCAATCTGGACCCAACCACTGGATCCCACTGCCTTCTAAGACAACTGTGTTTGAGTAATGCTAGGATACTGTCCCTAGCTCTGTGTGCCAGGATTAGTGCCCTGGTGCTGTCTCTACTAGGCCACATGTGCTGGGATCCCACTGGGGCTTGCACCCCAATTTCCTCTGCCTCCACTGGGATTGGTACCCTTGAGTCTTGCACTGACCCTGCCTATCTCCACATGCCAGAATCAGTCCCTGCACAGCCAATATGGTGCACAGGACCACAGCCCATGGGAATCCCAACGTGCCTGTGCGGAGCCCCACAAGCTGAATGACCTAGTGTCAGGGGCCAGATCTGGCCTGCAGGCGAGGGGTTAAACACCCCTGCCCTAAGACAGACTCAGAAGTTTGAAAGAGACCTCAAGATTCATGTAGTCTAACCCCTGTGTCCTAGTCCTTCCATCATGTCCATTCAAATAGCTGTCAAACCTCTTTTCTTGGGTGAGGTTATACCCCTGTGAAGTCCCAAAAACAAAGTGCATGCAACAAGAGAGGGTACACTATGAAGTGAAGGTTCTGATGAAGGTCAATCTGAGATACAGGTTGCACTAAAAAAACAATATCCTGGTGTGATATTTTTGTTTGCCATTATTTTTGTACTTGAAGTCATTTGGAGTTGAGCAAATGTGCAGCTACATAGCTAAAATGAACCTTAGAATTACCAAGAGTCTGATTCTTCCACCCTTCCTAACATGAACTAATAACATACTCCATGAGGAGGTCCAGTAATTCCAACAATGGTAGCAGTCTAACTGGGCTCCAGATTATATAATTATACTTCCACAGACATCAGGCAGACACCATTTTAGTCTATCCGAAAACTGAAAAATCAGTGCAGAATGTATTTGTTACTGGGGACATCTTGCCCTGGGCACTTACTGCGTCAAATTTAATGTTCCATTTTTAATCTAACCAATATGTTCAAACTGGTCTGAGATCTATGTACCTGAAAGACCAGCCACCTCCCTGTGACACAGCCCCAGTGTTGAGATCAGCCGGAACTCTTGATTTCAAATAGTCCTGGTTTATAAACCCTTAGTGCATGCTGCAAAGTAGCTTTACTTACCCTGGCTGCAAGGGGTTGGAAAGACACTAGAGGGAGAATAATAAGATCTAAAACATGTTTTAGCATCTTTGTTACAGTGCATGCTAATTACTGGGTGAAGGGGCTACTGGAGTTGTCCATTTTTATAACTGTTTTTTTTTAAGGTGCAAGAAGAACCAAGAGAAGGCCAGGCACTCTTTTTATGAGATGAGTGAATAAATGCTCAGGAGGAGCTGGGGGTAGGATCAGGATGTTTGTGGGTATTGTGCATGTCAAATCCTATTTTTTCATGTCAGAGGCCAGACTGTTAGGCTTCTCAAGTTTGTGGTTTTCTATCTCCCCAGCACCAACTTGAGAGATGTTCTCACCTCACAATAGCTACAAAAAACCATCAAATGGCATCTGCTTCTGGCATAGAAAAGTAATGCGTTGAGAAAACTTGGCAAGCCATATTACCTGTTGCATACTATTAATGGCATTTTGAACAAAACTAGTGCCCTGGAAAATTTTATAGAACAAGCAATTGGCCTTCTTGGTAAGAAGTATTGCAGCTGATTACCAGTTGGCTGAGTTCAGTAAACGAAAGCCAAACTTGAAAGCTATGGATCATTAGCTCTGAATTAGGTCCAGATCAGTGCAGTTGGAAAAACATGTCAGTGAATGACCAGACAAGAAAGTTATTCTTTAGACCTTAAACCAACATGCTACAGAAACATAGTTTTTATTTTGCCAAAAAAGGTCTAGGTCAAAGTTTCTCAACTTCATACATTCTTAAAATCTTTAGATACAGTCAAATACCTCCAATCTCTTAAAGCAGGGGTATCAAACATACAGCACACCAGCCTGCACACCCTCTCTGTTCAGTCTGCCAAGGATGGCCCTGGCCATCGGTGGGCTAAATCTAGGGCCATTTGGCCTTGGCTCATCGCCACTGCTCCTTGACTCACCCACCCTACAGATCCGCCACCAGAGCTCTTATCACTTCTGTCACTGGACCCCATGCTGCAGCTGGATCCCCACAAAGATCCCCACAAGGATCCCCACAAGGATCCCCATGGTTCAGATCCAGACCAAGGCACTAGTCTGACACCCCTGCCTTAAAAAAAACAAGTGATGTGCTTGAGCTTACTTTCAGAGAAGCTTAATCAACTTCACTTTAACAATTAGAAAGCTTCATTTACTTGGTAGGTATATCACTGACTATATCACTGACCCAGTTAATCACATCTTAAATTGTGATCCAGCCACACGTTAAATCAATTAAGGGTATGATAAAATGAGAAATAAACCACAAAGTTATTCCACAAAAGTGTGTAATCACTTTGTGGCTGATTCCTATCAGGCCATTAACTAAATGTGTGGCCAGGTGCTCCATCACAGTTGTGAGCCATCAGTTGATGGGACTCCCAGCCGCAGGAGCACATGGGGTGCCCCCACAGCCATGAGCCCCATCAGCTGCAGGCTCCCAGCCACAGAAGCTTTCTATTTGCCAGTGCAGGGGGAGCCCAGGACTATGAACCAAAATGCTGAAATGAATCACTATCCTCTGAAATGGCCCGATCTCAAACCAAATCGAAACACAGCCGTTTCACACGGCCCTAGAGCTAACCATTGGTGCACCCAGCACATGGACACAAGTGACAGGAGCAGCCTGAAAGCTTGCAGAATACTCTGACACTGTTCCTAGTTCATGAAGCACCTCATGTTACTGGTCACCATCAGATGGTCATGGGACATTTACGTTGAGCACATCACCAGCCACTGCCAGTATGAAGAGAACCAACCAAAACCACCAGCCAAAAGCAAAAGTGGAGCTACAGACTGAAAGAGACACCTTCCCTTATACTATGGACTCATATAGGCTGCAAATGCTACTGGCATTGCTTCAATCTGGGTACATGTAAGCTGCATGCTAAAGATAATAACCAGGGATCCTGGTTTTCTCTGATAAAAAAAAATCCCCAATTTTTTAATAAAAAAAGTAATCCAAAATCCACATTTTTGCATGATTAAAATGAAACACCACTAATATATATTGAGAGAGATTTTTTTTAAATCAGAGTAAGCCAGGATCCAATACTTTGTGCTGATCGAAAATAGACTGCATGCTTAAAATGTTTGAGACTGCTTTACCATCCTGCAAGCATGTATCAATGTGGTTACCATGTGAGGCGGTTTGCTCTTCATAATTCTCCCATATTGTACAAATATTTTCATCTTAGCAGTTTCTTACATGGTTCCTTTCAGTTCTGCTTTGGTTGATTTCTTTTTCACTGCCACCAAGTTAGCATCCCAGATTGAAAAACAACCCCTACAGAATTAATGGTAATAGTAAATAAAATTTTTAAAAGAGAGAGAGAAACTAAGTCAAGATTGTTTCAGCAAGCTAAAACTTGTATATGGACACTCTTCCTGCCATTTTAACACCATAATAAAAAAAGCAGAGCACAAAATATCCATGTTCTTTGCTCATGCCACATAAACCTAGAGGAGATTTGCAGTTTTCTGCCCAATGTAAATTAAATAACTTATTTACTAGAGAACTCTAGTTAACAAAAGCCTCTTTAGAGAAAGACCCAAATGTAACAAATATATTCCAGCAGACCACTACATAATAAAGATGGAATGAGAATTGCTCCTATTCCAAAGTAAATACGCTTAATATAAATATTATCACCAACTCAAAAACACACAGTGAAAAATAAATTTGATTTGCTATTCAGAGAAAAGCACATTTGGGTTTCTAATGAGCCCACAGGCCAAACCTGCCCAGAAAGCCACACAAGAAATAAGAGATGTTTGTTTACCTCTGTCTGGTAGGCATCATATAAGAATCCTATTCCACTTGAATAAAACTGGCACCTTCTGTTATACAATGGTCGAGGTTCCTGTAATGAAGAAAGGTACAGATAAAAGCATTTGTCTATACTAAACAGGCTGGCACAATGTTTCTCTCACCTCCACTGCTGTCAGGTTCTCACAGTTTCCTGGAAGTGAAACCAAAGCAGCCTGTTGGACAACCAGTTAGGCACGATGCAAGGCTGTTTGCTTTTCAACCCCATTGCAAAGGCTTCCTCTCACTATCCACTCTATTTCCAGGAGGGGCAAAAATATTTTTTTTTCAACTGATCTGATGATAATCTCTAGTAAAAAAATCTCCAATTTTCAGATTTATAAAAGTAACCCCAAATCCACATTTTTCCATGATCAAAATGAAACACCACTATCTATCTATCTATTAGTAATGTTTCATTTTGATCAAGGAAAAATATGGATTTGGGGTACTTTTTTAATCTAAAAATTGGAGATTTATTTTTTATCAGAAACAACCAGGATCCCTGCTAATGAACTCCAGCATCTCAGTTGTTTAATACCTTTCCCCCCTTCATATTTGCCTTCTTCCATACAAGATTAGGGTGAATAACCTAAGACTATTTGTTTTAGGTTAGTCAGTCTAACCTATCAGGATAAGGGTCTTACCCAAATCAGACATAAAAAGCAACATTTAGTTGGCTATTTCTTATTTGGTACACTACCTTACTTTGCAAGGTGTAAACATGTCTACAGCTATAGAGAAGACACGGAAAATAATATGAGCTATAACACTTAATTTTTACTAAAACAGGGCCTTGGAACTCTTTGCGTTCAAAAGTCCAAAAACAGTGAAGAAATTAAGACATTAATGGGGGAAGAAATCTAGAGTCAAGCATGCAATTCACTGTAAGTCAATTTTGCTTCTATTTCTGTTCACAAATATCTGCAAAGAATATAATGATCTTAAATGTGTTTGCTACCCAAAATATATTCCCAGACAAGATTTCCCTGTGCCAGCTGAAAGACCCTAAGGCTAGGGACAGACACTACACATAAACTGATTTAAGTGATCAGAAACTGGTTTAAACCTGTAACAGAACAGATGTTCAGTGCACATGAGCTGATTTGAAAATAGCTGAAACTGGTTTGAGACAAACCTGGTTGAATGTAGTATCAGACTTAACTGATTTGGCTCAAACTGGTTTATGAAATGTCTGTCCCAGACACCTTCTTGGTTTAAGTTAAATCAGACTCCTCCAGAATCCCAGATGCTTTGCAACTCTGGGTGGGGCTCTGCTCTCTGCTCCAGCCCAGCAGGGCTGGCCCCTCCCCTCTGCTGCCTGGCTGCAGCTCCAGCAGACTGCAGGTACAGGGCATATGCCTGGCTTCCTCCTGCTCATCCCCTCCCCACTCCCTGCTTTAGCAGGAATTCCCCCCTCCACTCTGCCTTACACAGACACCTCTCAGCATTAGCTATCATACCACATGCTGGCTACAGTCCCATCTGTGCTGTGGGAGACAGGACAAAGGCAGACTGGGCAGTGTCTGCTTAGGGCTCTTTGGAACTAATCAACAGGTAGCTGGTAATGTCTTTACTCATCCCCTCCCCACTCCCTGCTTTAGCAGGAATTCCCCCCTCCACTCTGCCTTACACAGACACCTCTCAGCATTAGCTATCATACCACATGCTGGCTACAGTCCCATCTGTGCTGTGGGAGACAGGACAAAGGCAGACTGGGCAGTGTCTGCTTAGGGCTCTTTGGAACTAATCAACAGGTAGCTGGTAATGTCTTTACTTGGAAAAAAAGTTATTTAAGAAGAGCTTAAACTAATGAGAGATACTTTTGTTTTACTGATGGGGCAATAAATGCCCCCCCCCCCCCCCCCCCCACCCTATTTTTTTGTAGAATACAACGTAACTCCATGTTGTGTAAGTAAACACTGTGCAAATCCCTGCTGACTCCCTCGCTGACCAGTGAGGTGGGGACCCCTCCCTAATCAGAGCATCCTGCTGGGGCCTGGCCATACCTACCTCAGCTCAACACTGTGGAAGGGAAGGGAGGACTACTCTATCACCCCCCCGGCCCCCTTCCCCCAGCTTGTAGCCTGATCCACTGCAGGCATGTGCCTGCATTTTTCAGTCTAGAGGGGATTCCTGTGCAGTTACAAACTGGTTCAGCCTAGGCAGTTTAGACTAACTTGCAAAGATTGACTCAATTCAGGCTTAGACTTTTTGAATGTCTGTTCCTAGCCTCAGAGTCAGTAGGACAAATGCAGGTAAGGAAGTTAGAATCACCATTATCCACTAATATCTTCCTTCCTGCAAAAGTATAGGGGCTATAAAATCATCACAAGGAAATCCAAGCTTGCCTTGCTTGTCCTTCATTGTGCCAGCCTTGGTTTCAGTTAACTATAGAGCTGCTTCGGGAACAGGCTGAAAGCTGAAGACAGGTTTCTGCTAGTTAGGATCTGTTCTCATTATATTATATCTGGTAATGAACTGTGAACTGTATAAATAAAGCTATAAAACCAAACAAGGCAACCAGAGAAAATGCCAAGCCTGGCAGGAACATAGACAGGTAGATTAATAGTACTCATTCATCATGTTGCTGTTTTTCTGGCTGTGACCTTCTGATTTCTCTGGCAAGCCAAAGTAAAAGCCTGAAGACAATTGCTGGGTGAAGCCTAAGAGCATCCAATAACATCTATTTATACCACCCAAGAAGAAAACATTTCCCAAAAACTCTGATTCTTTGGGAGGAAAAGGAAATACCAAAGTGATGCAAACAACGTGCCATTTCTAGCACTTGCAGGAGTAGAAGAATGGGGTTTTTTTTAAATCCAGGAAAACATTGGGCTTAGCCATAACTTCTTCTACTGCCTGGAAGAAGAGGAGCAAGGTGGGGGGAGAAGGGAGGAGAGAGAGAGAATACTGAACGCAACAGAAAATATGCACAACAATAAAATGTGTTATCCTCCTAACAGAGAGATTTCAAAATTGTTAATCATTATGTCTGCCACAACAGCATACTCCATATCAGATAATGGAGGATCTGGAGCTAATCTTTCTTGGTGCTGAGATCCAGCACAGTAGAAATGGCTCCAGCAGGCATACAGTGCCTATGCTTTCAAACAACGCTGGCTTTGTGCATTTTTAGAGAAAGCAAGAAAATTCCCCTTCTGCCATTACCACTCATAGGAGGACGCCTTCAACTCTAATCTCTGAGTTTACATGCTATTCTTGCCCATCTCATCTTCATATTTAAAAAGCAAACAGGCAAACTTTAAATTGTGAACCAAATTAATGCCAATTGCCTCTATCAATCTGGCCACCAAGGGGCATGAGAGGTTGCTCTTTGGCCATCAGATACAGCTGAAGCGCTGGGTTGTTCCTGTGAGCAGTACTGGTCTCACAGAACAGTATTGATTGATTAAGCTGTTCAAATCCACCCTTGTTTTATGGGAATGATATGTAGAAGAAAAATCAAGACTTTGACCTGCCACTGGCCACCATGAACACAGTTCATTCAGTTGCGGATACAGTAACCACCTACATTTTTGCATGCACTTAAGCTTTAAGAAGAATGAAGTCTTCTGAATGTAAGAGGTAGATAACATTATCACTGTTAAGGGTTCTCCATACATCTAAGTGTTCAGTGTATCTGGCTAACCTAAAATAGTTTTCAGGAGAAAAAGGTTGGACTTAAACAGTTCAATGTGCCATCAGAAAAACAAACATTAGATAGTACTTAATTTATTCAGACATGCAAATGAATCAATAATACAAGTGTGCAGTAATCCAGGTTTGACTGTACACATATATTAAGAGTACTGACAACTAATTCTGAATATTAGTTTTTTAACTGGTCACAGAGATCATGCAATTTGTCTGAAAATTAAGACAAACTAATTCAAATGAACAAAACATACACAATATAACTCCACAGGCATTAAAAAGTATTTAAAAATTATCCTACAGCATGTCATACTTTATTAACGGTCTTATGATTTTATTGCTCCATCTAATGACAAAAGCAAATGAACCGTGTTTCAAAGCTGTGAAAGTATTCCTACTGGACACCTCATAAAGCACTGTATAGTTCTTCTTCTATGGTTATCTGTAGACTGAAATAACAAACAATCTTTGCTTCTACTGAACAAAGCAGCACTTGCACAGATACATTTATCCTCATGAGCTACTAGCATGCATTATTTTCACCTATTAACATAAGCTTTAACATTTACATCAAGAACTGTCTTCTGTTACATGCCCAACTATTACTGAACATAAATTAAAGGGGTGAAATTAAAGTTTTTAAGTCAGATTGATGGCATTCTTATTGTGTCTGCACATTATATGCACAAGTACATAAACATACAGTAAAAATGTATGTGTATAAGAGACCTCAAAGTACAAACAGAAAGCTAAAGAGATTACAAGGGCTGCAAAGTGCTGCACTAATGCAGGTAATAAAGAGAAGCAGCAGCAACAGCACATATATTTAGTGAAAGCTACAAAACACCTCTTTATTAGTTCTTAAGAGCAATGAAATAATCTTTTCTTTTCTAACTAGTTGCAGGTGCTCAAACACATTTCTATACAACATTCAAATTCATTTTACCAGTTAATCAGAGCTTGAGTGGTGCCCTCTTCAGCAGAGCGGTAGCTAATGGTGCTTTGCTTTAGCCTATTTCAAACCGTCTCCATCTTAAGAGGTGTTACCCAAACCACTTTGCTTTTTGAAAAGGGTAAAAAAGAGAAAGAATAGCACTGTATGCTAGCCTTGTGACACAGCCCCACAGCAACAAGACAGTGATGCAGTTTCCCCTAGGACCTGATTACACAATGTACTGAGCTAGTTTACATATGTTTGAAAAAAATGTTGACTGAGGGGCAATCAGAGTGAAACCCTGGTTCAGGAAAGTCAATGGGATTTTCATTACTGTGGTGAGCAGGACCAGGTCCAGGACCTTATGAGAACACACTGTTGAAGAATGTCTTTGAGCTTCTGGGATCTGACTGGCATGGACCTGACAGGGACTTGTTACAAGTTATATATAAGGGTTTTTGGCA